GGCTCTTGTGATCGCCAGTATGTGCGTCCTTGACACCATAATCGAAAGCGTATTTGGGGTAGTGATGTGGTTCGTGATGTTCGTAGTGATCGTGTCCATGGCCACTGTAGGCCACCAGGTTAACTGGAGCCAAGTAGGCGGCGTGATGAGGCACAACTTCCTGCTGCACCACCGAAGCATAGCTGGTAGCGTGTCCGTGCGGTATGTATCCTGCGTAAGCCATACTGAAGGACGCAACAGCGATAATAGCGAGACCGGAAAGCAGCTGCATAATTGTTACGATAGGAAATTTTTAATTGAATGTGGAGTGACTACGTGTAAATCTATGGTGAGAATATACCGAACTGATACTAATTCAATTTGTATGCGATCTATTTATACCAAAACGGGCTTGTTCGTTCGCCTTTACGTTAGCAGCATTTTGACTATGGGCTTCTAATTTTAAGAATGCAAAACTTTGCTCAGTAGCAGGGATTGGTATGGTATGAACAAAAGGCGGTACAATGAAACTTTGTGTTATAAAACATGCAATATGTAATTAAAAAAATTGTATGCAAGAATGAAAATGTATATGTATAGTATATACATACAAAATTTTTTTGCTGCAAGTGTACTGTATCCGTAGTATTTACTACCTTTCACATAACGCCCCACCACATTTAACACGTCTGCAGCTAATTTTTTGATTTACTAATTTTCTAATATGCAAGCCATCAAAGCAATAATACAAATCCATACAATTACAATTCGCCTTAGTACCTGTGCTGATCGACAATCGATTGGGTAGTCGCAAGGTCATTGCTCGAATTTCCAGCGGCAAATGGCCCGTCAAGCAGAAGGCAAAAACTAAGCCTAAGCATGTACATAGAACCCTCTCCGCTTCCCTTTAAGCACTATGTATACGTTTAGACTAAAAGGCAGTGTTTTTAATGTTGCTATTTTACACGCCAATTCGTTACGCTTCACTTAGTTGTTTAGCTTCTTTGCTTCGATGGTAAAAACTCCAGGCGATTATTAGTTTTTTATAGAAATTAAAATTGCTTTAATTTATGAGTTTTTCGAGCAGTTTTAATTTCAGACACAATATGTGAGTGTTTGTATATCTGACACTGTTAATAAGTCNCACGAACCACATCACTACCCCAAATACGCTTTCGATTATGGTGTTAAGGACGCACATACTGGCGATCACAAGAGTCAATGGGAACAGCGTGACGGCGATAAGGTTAAGGGTGAGTAAATTAAAAGCAGAAAAATCGGCTGTAAGTTTCCTAAACAATAGCTCTCCTCCCAATTAGGCGGCTACACACTGGCCGAAGCCGATGGCACTACCCGCGTCGTGGAATACACAGCCGATGATCATAATGGCTTCAACGCCGTCGTAAAGAAGATCGGACATGCGCACCACCCTCACGTGCATTACAACCAAGAAGGCTATGGTTATGAGGAACATGGACATTATCCCCTTGGACATGCCAGCAGTTATGTGGAAATCAAAGAACACCATTAATTGAGTAGCAACCTGTGATCGTAGATTTGAAGCGGAACAAAAGTAGAACTGCAGTTGGCTGTAGAGCAACATAAATACATTTTATTATTAAGCGAGTTGTACTCTCATCTATAGTATATAAAATGTTGTATTCACCTCATTACGTTCATTTCCGAATATGTATATTTTTAGAGCTCGTCCTTGTAAAAATTAAATAAATGTTATCCAAATACATAAGCAATTGTTTTAAAACGAAATATTTTTACTATTTTATTTTTGATAAAAAACATTATGAAAGGGTTGGGCGCGAAGACATATTTCAGCTTGAGAATAATAATAATAATAAATAAATAAAAAACCAAGTTTCGTTAAGATATCTCAATTTTTACTCGAGTTATCGTGTGCACAGACGGACGGACAGACAGTCACCGCTTAATCGATTTCTCTTTTCATTCGGATCATTTATGTTTACATTTGTCTATATCTATCTCGGTTCGTTTTGCCTGTTACAAACAACCGTTATGAATTCAAATTGTTAAATGTTGGGATCGAAATTAAAATTTTGGCATACCTCAGTTGCCGTTTTACCAACCCGCATCAAACTCAGTATTCATATACAAAACGAATGACTTTGGCTTCAATTTGTTTGACATTTGAGTGATTACCTGTTCTGATATGTGTGTTGACAAAAAGTGAACATAAATCCAATTTAAATAATTGGAAATTTTTTGTATGAATATCCAAAAATATTTTTTCTATGTACATACATATGTATGTATGTATTGCTGCGCTCCTATTACAATACGAACAAATTTTTTGTGTAGAAAAACCTATGTGTAACCGAAATGAGTTTGAATGATTTGAAAGTTTTTCATTCATTCATTCACATTCTTCCATTTGAAGGTGGAAAATTTAAAACAAAATGTATATTCATAACCAGGGTACGAAAATAAACTATATTGTACGTTACTATTTCGTTTCG